TGTTGTCGAAACTTGTGGATTCCAAGCTGGCGGCCTTATCGCAAGATAGGCCGCTGGCTGTTCCGTCCCCGGCCTCTTCGGTGGCCGCGGGGTCGGACGCGGGGTCCACCGGTAAAGCGGCGGATCTCTTGGCGGCCCGTGTGCTGTCCGGGGATTCCGTCGCTGCATTACTTGCATAACTTGTGGACTCCAAGCTGGCGGCCTTATCTCAGGATAGGCCGCTGGCTGTTCCGTCCCCGGCCACTTCGGTGGCCGCGGGGTCGGACGCGGGGTCCACCGGTACGGCGGCGGCTCCCGTGGTCACCGGTCCTTCCCCCGAACCGTTGCTCCCGCTATCGGTTTAGGACCGCGTGGCCATGGTTTATGACCTCTTTGAGGACATGCCCCGGCCGGTACCGCGGGGAATCCACGACTGTGGGTTCCTCCGAGGTATACGATGAGTCTTCCGACACGGCTTTCCCCGCATCAACCTTGCTGCGCGGTTTCAAGCCTTCCTTGGAGAACGCCTTCGCGGCGGCCTCCGGTCGGGGTCTCCCGTTGCCTCCGACGTCGTGGAGAAAGGGTTTATTCCCGGTACATGACCTTGCCTTTCCCGAGGCTGGTCCTACCGCGGAGGCCCATGTTGAGCGGTTGGGTGTCCGTGCCCCACCGGCTGCTACGGTAACGCAAGCTACCTTGCACCAGCTGGACGCCCTCGCTCGGCACTCCATGTCTCACGGAGACACTTACTTGGCTGCAGCGGCCCGTCTGGTCGAAGGTTCTCCCACGGACCGTGACCAGCGCATTTACAACTGCCTGCTCAGTTTAAATGCTTCCCTGGAGTACGTTGCCGAGGACTCTCGGCACACACTTGCTCTTGTTGGGTCCCTGCATAGGCGCCTGGGTGCCGCTCCTAACCGGAGCGCGCCCCAGGCTGCTGCGGCCGGTAGGTCTAAGGGGTCGGGTTCTTCTTCCTCTGGGAAGTAGCCCCGCCCTGAGGGCTCCGGTATGGGCAATCAGCTGCCCTTTCGCGGGAAGACGGGGAACTGGGGGAAGCCCAAGTCGTCGACGGACGGCAAGGGCCCCTCCAGGTGACTCTCATTGGAGGGGTTCGTATGCCGACAGCGCCAACTTCGGTTGGCCCTTAGGCGAACCCGAGTCACTTGGCCCTGGACAGTTGCGCCTGTCGCAACCTGTCAGGGCCCCCTCTCCTTCCCCAGTGGGAGCCAGACTCCAGACTTACTGGGAGAATTGGGAACAAGTGTTCGACGACCCGTGGGTGGTCAACACGATTCGGTACGGCTATCGGCTTGATCTCAAAGCGAATCCGCCGCTCACCGTTGCCCCGTTGGCAGGTTTCGATTCGGAAACCGATCTTCCCATCCTCGCCGATGCCATCGGCAGGTTGGTGGAGAAGGGGCAGTACGGGAGTTAGCTCTACCAGAAATAACACCGGGGTTTTACTCCAGGATATTTCTCGTTCCCAAGTAGGACAGTGCCGAACTCAGAATGATTCACACGTCCGCTCCCTGGCTGTTCACCCGGTTAACCACCCCCATAGTGGGGTTCCTCCACAGGAGGGGTGTCCGGTACTTCGCGTACCTGGACGACTCGCTAGTAGCAAATCGAATGACGGACACCCTGTCACGCCATCTCGATTTCGCACGTCGGCTCTTGGAGCAATTTGGGTGGATTATCAATCTCCCCAAGAGCGAGTTAACCCCTTCTCAGAACTTGCTGTTCATCGGAGGTCGGTTCAACACGGTGTCCCATCGCCTCTTTGTCCCCCCAGACCGGTGGCACAAAATTCAGGCGATGATTGCCAAAGTCTTAGCGGTGCAACAGACTGTTCACTTTTGGGAAAAGCTGTTAGGGCTACTTGTATCAGCCCAGGACTGCACCGCACGGGGTCGTCTCCAACTCCGCCCGCTGCAACGGTTTTTAATCCAGTTGTTAGCAACGGAGGTGAACAGTGCGACCGTCGCCCTCCCGGATCGGCTCCGACCGCATCTGGAGTGGTGGACGGTCCCTTACATTGTCTTATCAGGAGTCTCTATGCGGCCCTACCGGGCCACGTTGACCCTGTATACAGACGCCTCTCTAGTGGGCTGGGGCGCCCATCTAGAGGGGGAGGTGAGCTCGGGGCTGTGGTGCTTAGACGAACTAGGTCTTCACATCACTTGTCTCGAGTTCAAGGCAGTGATCAACGCAGTCAATCACTGGAAGCATCGTCTCGTCGACGCCCGGCTCATGCTGGCGACCGACAACACGACGGTAGTGTCCTATGTGAACAAACTGAGGGGAACCCACAGTCACTCGCTACTCGATCTCACGTTCGAGTTTTACGCTCTGGTGGACAGTGTCCCGTGCCAGATACGCGCCCGTCACATCCCAGGTGTGCGGAACGTACTGGCCGATGCTCTATCGAGGCCTCAGGATCCGAGCCCCACAGAGTGGATGCTGAACCCAGTAGTGTTTCAGTGGCTGTGCGAACGTTTGGGTCGTCCGATGGTCGACCTGTTCGCAACGCGGTTCAACAATCAACTCCCGTTGTTTGTATCACCAGTCCCGGTCCCGAGGGCCATCGATCACGATGCTCTCGCGTTAGACTGGACGGGCTTGGTCGCTTATGCTTACCCGCCGACAGCGTTGATACCACACATTCTAAGCCGGCTCCGAGGAGTTCGCTGTCGAATGTTACTGATCGCGCCCATGTGGCCGAACAGATCGTGGTACCCCGACTTGCTGACCCAGGTCACGCAGTCGCCACTTCCACTGCCTGTGAGACCGGATCTCTTGATCCACCCTCACAGCCGTCAGCTTCATCCAAACGCAGGGCAGTTCAATCTGCACGCGTGGATGTTGTCACCGAGCGTCTGAGGAGTAAAGTTTTTTCTCGCCGGGCGTCTCGGGCATACGTTAGTATGCATCGTGATTCTACCCAGAAGGTGTATAATGCACGTTGGGTTATTTTCACGAAGTGGTGTTGTAAACATCACATTCATTCGCCAGATAAGGTATCTGTGCAGGATATTGCTCGTTTCATGTCTCACTTGCGAGAGACCCGGAAACTCTCCGGGGGTTCCATTGCCAACTATGTCTCGTCCGTTGCTACGGTACGGGACGTTGCTATGGGTACCAGTCTCTCCAAAGAGCCGGTGATACGGGGTATTATCAAGGGTTTCAAACAGCACGATCTTAAGAAGGGCCGCCTTCGGGCACCGGCCTGGGATCTTTGGCTAGTGTTGCAATCACTTACGGAAGCTCCGTATGAACCCTTGCATAGTGCTTCGTTCCGGCATGTGACTTGGAAAACAGCATTTCTCCTCTCCTTTGCCACGGCGGCACGTGTATCCGAAATTCATGCACTCGATGTCGCCAAGGTACGATTCGATAGGGGTGACGAAGGAGCGGTCCGCCTGGGCCTGCTCATGGGCTTCGTCGCCAAGAATCAGAGAGTCGGGCAAACGGAGAGAGAATTCACTGTAAGATCACTCAAAGAAATCTTACATCCTGCTGATACTGAGGACAGAGCGCTGTGTCCGGTTAGGGCCCTAAAGTATTATCTTAAGGCTTCGAATGAACGTAGACAAGGGCGTGACCGTCTGTTCATATCGTGTAACCCTAATCGCACGGTTGACATACCTCGCAACTCGATTGCGTTGTGGCTTCGTTCTGTCATCAATCTGGCGTACCGGTCTCGGGGGTTACCGGTAGCGGGGTCAAACCCGCACGAGATCAGGGCGCTAGCGGCAACATTTGCCCTACACTCGAATATCTCTGTTCGCAGAATATTACGAGGTTGTTACTGGCGTTCTGACTCGGTTTTTGCCAATCATTACCTCAAACAGGTCGCTGATGCCGTCGTGGAGAGTGTGCACCGTCTTGGCCCGCGGATCGCGGCGCAAGCGGGCACCTAAGGGGTGTGCCCAGCGCAATTCCGAACTCCTCAGGCGTCTGACCTTGCACGGTGGTCAATCTGGGTCTACTCCAATGTTCCCACTGCCGTGGGTACAGGAGTTGGGGTCCCGCAAACCAGCGCACTCACACCACAGGTGAGGGCGGCTTTTTGTGTGCTTTGTCCTTATTTGTATTTTGACAATTATGTCTTTAATTGTCTGTCGTGTATCCCAACCTTGTGATGCATGCTTACAAATACTGGAATTAGGTCACGCGCCTAATGCATACTTTAAGTAGGCTTGCTCTGGGATATACGGTCTGAATGAAATTAATTTCCCTCTTTTCGACTGTTTAACCTGATCTAAGATTAAGCTCACGCGGATACAGTGTTCTCATCCGCTGCGGCGATGAAATACCTATCCAGTGGGGCCGTTTGGAGTCACCAATCGTTTTGGCAATGACGATTGAGCCTTACGGTATGCGCTTGACAGTGCTTTGGTATTCCTATAGGGTAACGCCTAGCTAGGTGCATGCGCATCGAGTGCTTCCGCCTTGGTGTTTACTTCCGCTGGTCGGCAGGAACGCTAGCAGTCAGGATTCGGGTTGTAGGTGCTCCCCACCGCCTACTGTGGTAGTCAGCCTCGGTATAACAGTGGTAACGTATTACTTAATGTAATTTGTAGAATTTTCCTATTCGGAATATTCTATAAGTAATACGTTACCACTGGGCTGCTGCCCGCCCGTCCGTCCCCCGAGCACTTGCTCTCGCAGGAGACAAGAGTGAAGGGTGTCACATGGCAGCTAGGTGGCTACGCACGTGCTGCATGAGGTAATTGAGATCTCTGTGGTAGATTTCGCTATAGCAGCAGTTGTGGGAGACAACAGCCTCGGTATAACAGTGGTAACGTATTACTTATAGAATATTCCGAATAGGAAAATTCTACAAAACAATAAATAAACCAACAAACAATAAACATTTAAATTCTGATTTCATTTTCTTTCATTTTGGACAAATTGTCTTGAACTTCTGAAGACAGACATGTAACGTAACATTTGAGGTCACTGCATCAAAAGACCCTAACTTTTATAGGCATGCGTTGATTGAGAGATTCATGTTTCAGATTTGAGGAGAATATGCAGTCATACAATCTGCTAGGAGTAACATCCGCTGGCAGCGGAATCAACTACGGAAGCAGTACACAGGTATGTTTGTGTTGTGAGAGTTACCTCCCTTTGACCTGTAGGAATACATGGTGGGTCAGTTATAAACTGCCACTGGTAGCTTGTCCTTCCGAGTGTCGTTGTGATGGTGTGTGAGAGTTACCTCCCTTTGACCTGTAGGAAAACATGGTGGGTCAGTTATAAACTGCCACTGGTAGCTTGTCCTTCCGAGTGTTGTTGTGATGGTGTGTGAGAGTAACCTCCCTTTGACCTGTAGGAAAACATGTTTGGTCAGTTATAAACTGCCACTGGTAGCTTGTTCTACCGAGTGTTGTTGTGATTGTGTGTGAGAGTTGCCTGCCTTTGACCTGTAGGAATACATGGTGGGTCAGTTATAAACTGCCACTGGTAGCTTGTCCTTCCGAGTGTCGTTGTGATGGTGTGTGAGAGTTGCCTCCCTTTGACCTGTAGGACTACATGGTGGGTCAGTTATAAACTGCCACTGGTAGCTTGTCCTTCCAAGTGTTGTTGTGATGGTGTGTGAGAGTTGCCTCCCTTTGACCTGTAGGAATACATGGTGGGTCAGTTATAAACTGCCACTGGTAGCTTGTCCTTCCGAGTGTCGTTGTGATGGTGTGTGAGAGTTGCCTCCCTTTGACCTGTAGGAATACATGGTGGGTCAGTTATAAACTGCCACTGGTAGCTTGTCCTTCCAAGTGTCGTTGTGATGGTGTGTGAGAGTTGCCTCCCTTTGACCTGTAAGAATACATGGTGGGTCAGTTATAAACTGCCACTGGAGGCTTCTCCTTCCGAGTGTTTGTGAGTTGCCAGCCAGGGACTGTCTACCCTCCCACGGTGCTGCTAGAGTTCTGGGCAGCCTACTGTAATAGTATTGTTTGTGTGTTGCCAGCCAGGGACTGTCTACCCTCCCACGGTACTGCTAGAGTTCTAGGCAGCCTACTGTAATAGTATTGTTTGTGTGTTGCCAGCCAGGGACTGTCTACCCTCCCACGGTGCTGCTAGAGGTCTGGGCAGCCTACTGTAATAGTATTGTTTGTGTGTTGCCAGCCAGGGACTGTCTACCCTCCCACGGTGCTGCTAGAGTTCTACCCCCTGGCAGCCTACTGTAATAGTATTGTTTGTGTGTTGCCAGCCAGGGACTGTCTACCCTCCCACGGTGCTGCTAGAGGTCTGGGCAGCCTACTGTAATAGTATTGTTTGTGTGTTGCCAGCCAGGGACTGTCTACCCTCCCACGGTGCTGCTAGAGTTCTGGGCAGCCTACTGTAATAGTATTGTTTGTGTGTTGCCAGCCAGGGACTGTCTACCCTCCCACGGTGCTGCTAGAGTTCTACCCCCTGGCAGCCTACTGTAACCATGTGCTCACTGCCTTCAATGACCTCCGCCTGTGTGCACCGGTCAATCTTGCCTGTGAAATAGCCGATTGTGTCCAGCAGTCATTGCTCGAAGTTAACAGGGTCATCCTCGCCTTCTTCAGGTCAGTGCACGGTCCATCCAGCCCCCATCTGAAGGTCCACCCACTGAAGCTGTATCAAATACAGCATCCCATCTACATGCATCACTCTGATACAAATACAGCATCCCATCTACATGCAGCACTCTGATACAAATACAGCATCCCATCTACATGCAGCACTCTGATACAAATACAGCGTCCCATCTACATGCAGCACTCTGATACAAATACATCCTCCATCTACATGCAGCACTCTGATACAAATACAGCGTCCCATCTACATGCAGCACTCTGATACAAATACAGCATCCCATCTACATGCAGCACTCTGATACAAATACATCCTCCCATCTACATGCAGCACTCTGATACAAATACATCATCCCGTCTACATGCAGCATTCTGATACAAATACATCCTCCCATCTACATGCAGCACTCTGATACAAATACATCCTCCCATCTACATGCAGCACCCTGATAGAAATACAGCATCCCATCTACATGCAGCACTCTGATACAAATACATCCTCCCATCTACATGCAGCACTCTGATACAAATACATCATCCCATCTACATGCAGCACTCTGATACAAATACAGCATCCCGTCTACATGCAGCACGCTTACACAAATACATCCTCCCATCTACATGCAGCACTCTGATACAAATACATCCTCCCATCTACATGCAGCACTCTGATACAAATACATCCTCCCATCTACATGCAGCACTCTGATACAAATACATCCTCCCATCTACATGCAGCACTCTGATACAAATACATCATCCCATCTACATGCAGCACTCTGATACAAATACATCCTCCCATCTACATGCAGCACTCTGATACAAATACATCCTCCATCTACATGCAGCACCCTGATACAAATACAGCATCCCATCTACATGCAGCACCCTGATACAAATACATCCTCCCATCTACATGCATCACTCTGATACAAATACATCCTCCATCTACATGCAGCACTCTGATACAAATACATCCTCCATCTACATGCAGCACTCTGATACAAATACATCCTCCATCTACATGCAGCACTCTGATACAAATACAGCATCCCATCTACATGCAGCACTCTGATACAAATACATCCTCCATCTACATGCAGCACTCTGATACAAATACAGCATCCCATCTACATGCAGCACTCTGATACAAATACATCCTCCCATCTACATGCAGCACCCTGATACAAATACATCCTCCATCTACATGCAGCACTCTGATACAAATACATCCTCCATCTACATGCAGCACTCTGATAGAAATACATCCTCCATCTACATGCAGCACTCTGATACAAATACATCCTCCATCTACATGCAGCACTCTGATACAAATACAGCATCCCATCTACATGCAGCACCCTGATACAAATACATCCTCCATCTACATGCAGCACTCTGATACAAATACAGCATCCCATCTACATGCAGCACCCTGATACAAATACATCCTCCATCTACATGCAGCACTCTGATACAAATACATCCTCCATCTACATGCAGCACTCTGATACAAATACATCCTCCATCTACATGCAGCACTCTGATACAGATACATCCTCCCATCTACATGCAGCACCCTGATACAAATACATCCTACATCTACATGCATCACCCTGATACAAATACAGCATCCCATCTACGTGCCACACTTCCTTCGTGTAGGTTTACATACACTCTCTACATTTATGATACTTTCAGCCATTGTCTGATTTATTGACCTGTGATAATTACTGTTTCCAGAGCTGAAGAGACGACCTTCAACTTGCAGGAGGGGGAGCAGTTCGGTCAGTTCTGCGCCACGTACATCACGGACCTCCTCCCCTACCTCAACAAGTGTCTGCAGGTGCTCTTCCCTGCCTCCCAGCTGGCTCAGGCCCTGGGTGTGTCGGTCACAGAGCTCCACAAACTGGTGAGTCCATGCAAGCCTCTGTCGTTCCACAAATTGGTGAGTCCATGCAAGCCTCTGTCGTTCCACAAACTGGTGAGTCTAAGCAAGCCTCTGTCGTACCACAAACTGGTGAGTCCATGCAAGCCTCTGTCGTACCACAAACTGGTGAGTCCATGCAAGCCTCTGTCGTTCCACAAACTGGTGAGTCCATGCAAGCCTCTGTCGTTCCACAAACTGGTGAGTCCATGCAAGCCTCTGTCGTTCCACAAACTGGTGAGTCCATGCAAGCCTCTGTCGTTCCACAAACTGGTGAGTCCATGCAAGCCTCTATTGTTCAACAAACTGGTGAGTCCATGCAAGCCTCTGTCGTTCCACAAACTGTTGAGTCCATGCAAGCCTCTGTCGTTCCACAAACTGGTGAGTCTAAGCAAGCCTCTGTTGTTCCACAAACTGGTGAGTCCATGCAAGCCTCTGTCGTTCCACAAACTGGTGAGTCCAAGCAAGCCTCTGTTGTTCCACAAACTGGTGAGTCCATGCAAGCCTCTGTCGTTCAACAAACTGGTGAGTCAATGCAAGCCTCTGTTGTTCCACAAACTGGTGAGTCCATGCAAGCCTCTGTCGTTCCACAAACTGGTGAGTCTAAGCAAGCCTCTGTCGTTCAACAAACTGGTGAGTCCATGCAAGCCTCTGTTGTTCCACAAACTGGTGAGTCTAAGCAAGACTCTGTCATTCCACAAAGGGGCGGTCAGGTAGCCTAGTGGTTAAAGCGTTCGCTCGTCACGCCGAAGATCCGGGTTCGATTCCCGACATGGGTACAATGTGTGAAGCCCATTTCTGGTGTCCCCCGCCGTGATATTGCTGGAATATTGCTAAAAGCGGCGTAAAACCAAACTCACTCACTCACTCATTCCACAAACTGGTGAGTCCATGCAAGCCTCTGTCGTTCCACAAACTGGTGAGTCTAAGCAAGCCTCTGTCATTCCACAAACTGGTGAGTCTAAGCAAGCCTCTGTCATTCCACAAACTGGTGAGTCTAAGCAAGCCTCTGTCGTTCCACAAACTGGTGAGTCCATGCAAGCCTCTGTCATTCCACAAACTGGTGAGTCTAAGCAAGCCTCTGTCGTTCAACAAACTGGTGAGTCTAAGCAAGCCTCTGTCATTCCACAAACTGGTGAGTCTAAGCAAGCCTCTGTCATTCCACAAACTGGTGAGTCTAAGCAAGCCTCTGTCGTTCCACAAACTGGTGAGTCCATGCAAGCCTCTGTCGTTCCACAAACTGGTGAGTCCATGCAAGCCTCTGTCATTCCACAAACTGGTGAGTCTAAGCAAGCCTCTGTCATTCCACAAACTGGTGAGTCTAAGCAAGCCTCTGTCATTCCACAAACTGGTGAGTCTAAGCAAGCCTCTGTCATTCCACAAACTGGTGAGTCCATGCAAGCCTCTGTCGTTCCACAAACTGGTGAGTCTAAGCAAGCCTCTGTCGTGGCCTGTTTGTTGGGTATCCAGCATCCATTGTAAATATGATCTCCTCAGAAACAGCTGGACCAATGAAGACGCAAGCTCACATGCTTGTTTCCACCAATGATAACACCTGAATTTGTTCAAGAGGTTCAAATCCAATTTTCAATATGGCCGCCTCAGCAGACATATTAAAAAACCTGATAACGGTGTCATTTTTGTAAGCCCGTCACTGCAGTAGCCTGTTTGCAGAGCTTAGTACTATCGCTGCCATCATTTACCGTTCCCCACTGTGCTAGGGGACCTTTGGCATGTATGTTGTTCAATGTGAAGATTCGGGTTAGAATAGGTCTTCAGCAACCCATGCTTGTCGTAAGAGGCGACTAACATGATCGAGTGGTCAGACTCGCTGACCTAGTTGATGCATGTCATCATATCCCAATTGCGTTGATCGATGCTCATGGTATCAATCACTGTATTCTTGATCCAGACTTGATTATTTATAGAAAACTGTCGTATAGCTGCTATATTGCTTAGTGCGGTGTTAAACAACATACAAAACAAAACAAGGTTTCACTAGATAGACACAATTTTATGGATAACAACTTCTTTAATACTGTAAAATTCGACGTTTCGGTATAGATCCTTATACCGTTGTCAAGGATCTATACCGAAACGTCGCTTTTTACAGTATTAAAGAAGTTATTATCCATAAAATTGTGTCTATCTTGTCATCCGCCAACTTCTAAGTAATGCCTATCAAACAAGGTTTCACTAACTTCTCTTTCACTTTTCAGGGCAGTGTGGGCCAGGTTGACCTGAAGGCTGTTCTGAAGCAGGTCAGCCATCTCATACCTGTTGTCAAGGAAAGCCCTACACCAATTTCAAGCTCAACAGCAGCTCCTCACAACCCATCCTCCCCTCCAAATCAGCCTGCAAATAAAACTGAAACAAGTGTTCTCCGAGCTCAAGACACAGATGCTACTGGGACAACAACTGTTCCCGGATCTCAAGACACTGACACTACTGGGACAACAACTGTTGCCAAATCTCCAGACACAGATACTAGTAGTACAACAGATATTCCCAGATCTCCAGACACGGATGCCACTGGGACAATACCTGTTCCCAAATCTCCAGACACGGATGCCACTGGGACAACAGATATTCCCAGATCTCCAAACACGGATGCCACTGGGACAACAGATATTCCAAAATCTCCAGACACGGATGCTACTGGGACAATAACTGTTCCCAAATCTCCAGACACAGACACTACTGGGACACCAACTGTTCCCAAATCTCCAGACACGGATGCTACTGGGCCAACACCTGTTCCCCAATCTCCAGACACAGATGCTGTGGTCCATAGTGATGATGGAAGGGTGACACATACAGATACTACTACTGTGGCAGCTACTCCGGATGGCCCTGACAGAGTCCCGGTGGTTGCAGGTCCAGATACTTCTGTAGATGCTGTTGCCCCTTCCTCTGCTGATGGCTGGTCCAATTCTTGGGGGGACAACGACTTCAGCATTGACCTTGACTCGGTCCAGCTGACCGGTGGGGCACCCGCGGGTATTGATATTGGGCTGGCCTCGAGTTTAGTGGACAGCGTGCTACAAGGGGGGACAACCTCTGTGGGTGAAACCGGGGATGTGAAGAAACAAGACTGAATCTGTGTTACCATGGTTTCTGCAAAAATAGAACTCAGCTCAGACTGTTTCAACCTTTTGTAGTGTCACTGCAGATGGAAATCATGGTGAATGATTTTCTGTTGCTGGTTCGTGAGGTGTGGCCACAGATTTCTGTAACCATGGATACTTTGTTATGAAAGAAACATTATTAGTTTTTACTGAAGTTAACCTCTATAATCTACCATTAACTTATTACTGAGAAGACCCTCTCCGTGGTCTAGCAGATGGAGTGTCTGCCTGGAGAGCGGAGGGTTGTTGATTGATCCCCGGCCACGTCATGCCTGGTGTTTGGCATTGATGGGATAAAACAATGACTGGTCGGCTTAGAGCCAGTATACTGTGTCTGAGTGGGGTATCCATGTTAAACTGCTGCATACTATCTCAGTGGGCTGACACTGTACGGTCGGCATAAGTCTGGACGACTACAAGCGGCCACACAGAAACATGTGCATGCATGTCGTTATAGAAGTGCAACAATCTTGGATGCGACTTTAAGCCCTATTTTACCTCACCTCATAACTGAGCAAATGTTTTGGATATGTTCATTTTGTTTTGAGTGTAACCATGGTAACACATTCTTCAGAAATGTGACAACTGGGAAGTAGTGTCAAGGGACTTGTTATGTGGGCTTTCATATCTATATTTTGTTGATTAAATATTCAAATTCTTTACAATGTTTGTGTCTTCTTGGATCCAGTTCACCCATACAGATACGTACTGTATTTGTCCTGGAAGTGATGATATTCTGTACCTTTCTGTGTTGATACAGTGTAATATTCAGCTGACAGTGCTGATACTGTTATACCCAGCTGACAGTGTTGATACTGTTCTACCCAGCTGACAGTCTTCATACAGTGTTCTACCCAGCTGACAGAGTTATATACAGCTGACAGTGTTGATACTGTGTTGTACCCAGCTGGCAGTGTTTATACTGTGTTATGACCAGCTGACACTGCTGTTACTGTGTTGTACCCAGCTCTCAGTGTTGATACTGTGTTATACCCAGCTGACAGTGTTGATACTGTGTTATACCCAGCTGACAGTGTTGATACTGTGTTATACCCAGCTGACAGTGTTGATACTGTGTTATACCCAGCTGACAGTGTTGATACTGTGTTATACCCAGCTGACAGTGTTGATACTGTGTTATACCCAGCTGACAGTGTTTATACTGTGTTATATCCAGCTGACAGTGTTGATACTGTGTTATACCCAGCTGACAGTGTTTATACTGTGTTATATCCAGCTGACAGTGTTGATACTGTGTTATACCCAGCTGACAGTGTTTATACTGTGTTATATCCAGCTGACAGTGTTGATACTGTGTTATACCCAGCTGACAGTGTTTATACTGTGTTATACCCAGCTGACAGTGTTTATACTGTGTTATATCCAGCTGACAGTGCTGTTACTGTGTTGTACCCAGCTCTCAGTGTTGATACTGTGTTATACCCAGCTGACAGTGTTTATACTGTGTTATATCCAGCTGACAGTGCTGTTACTGTGTTGTACCCAGCTCTCAGTGTTGATACTGTGTTATATCCAACTGGCAGTGTTTATACTGTTTTATGTCCAGCTGACAGTGTTGATACTGTGTTGTACCCAGCTGGCAGTGTAGATACAGTGTTATACCCAGCTGACAGTGTTGATACTGTGTTATACCCAGCTGACAGTGTTGATACTGTGTTATACCCAGCTGACAGTGTTGATACTGTGTTGTACCCAGCTGGCAGTGTAGATACAGTGTTATACCCAGCTGACAGTGTTGATACTGTGTTATATCCAGCTGACAGTTTTAATACTATGTTGTACCCAGCTGACAGTGTTTATACTGTGTTATGTCCAGCTGACAGTGTTGATACGGTGTTATACCCAGCTGACAGTGTTTATACTGTGCTTTCGCTCGTCAGATACCACAACTATTCACTCGTTTCATAAAATTTGTATTAAATGGGAGCTTGTTTAATATTCTATATATATCAAGCTGACAGTGTTGATACTGTGTTATATCCAGCTGATAGTGTTGATACTGTGTTATACCCAGCTGACAGTGTTGATACTGTGTTGTACCCAGCTGACAGTGTTGATACTGTGTTATATCCAGCTGATAGTGTTGATACTGTGTTATACCCAGCTGACAGTGTTGATACTGTGTTGTACCCAGCTGACAGTGTTGATACTGTGTTATATCCAGCTGACAGTGTTGATACTGTGTTATATCCAGCTGACAGTGTTGATACTGTGTTATATCCAGCTGGCAGTGTTTATACTGTGTTATACCCAGCTGACAGTGTTGATACTGTGTTATATCCAGCTGGCAGTGTTTATACTGTGTTATACCCAGCTGATAGTGTTGATACTGTGTTATACCCAGCTGACAGTGTTGATACTGTGTTGTACCCAGCTGACAGTGTTGATACTGTGTTATATCCAGCTGATAGTGTTGATACTGTGTTATACCCAGCTGACAGTATTGATACTGTGTTGTATCCAGCTGGCAGTGTTGATACTGTGTTATACCCAGCTGACAGTGTTGATACTGTGTTATATCCAGCTGACAGTATTGATACTGTGTTGTATCCAGCTGGCAGTGTTGATACTGTGTTATACCCAGCTGACAGTGTTGATACTGTGTTGTACCCAGCTGACAGTGTTGATACTGTGTTATATCCAGCTGATAGTGTTGATACTGTGTTATACCCAGCTGACAGTATTGATACTGTGTTGTATCCAGCTGGCAGTGTTGATACTGTGTTATATCCAGCTGACAGTGTGAATACTGTGATACCCAGTTGACAGTCTTCATACAGTGTTATACCCAGCTGACAGCGTTGATACTGTGTTGTACCCAGCTCGCAGTGTTGATACAATTTTATATTCAGCTAACAGTGTTGACACAGTGTTATACCCAGCTGGGAATAACAGCATCAACAGTGCCAGCTGTCAACTGGGTATAACACAGTGTCAACACTGTCAGCTGGGTATAACAACATATAACCACTGCCAGCTGGGTACAACACAGTATCAACACTGTCAAGTGTTATACCCAGCTACCAGTGTTTATACAGTGGTATACCCAGCTGACAGTGCTGATGCAGTGTTATACCAAGCTGACAGTCTTCATACAGTGTTATACCCAGCTGACAGTGTTATATCCAGCTGAAAGTCCTAATACAATGTTATACCTGGCTGGGAATAACAGCATCAACAGTGCCAGTTGTCAACTGGGTATAACACACTATCAACACTGTCAGCTGGATATAACAGTATCAACCCTGTCGGCTGGGTACAACAGTATCAACACTGCCAACTCGGTATTACACAGTATCAACTCTGCCAGGTGGATATTACAAAGTACCAAAACTGTCAAGTGTGACACCTAGACTACAGTGTTTATACTGTTATATCTTGCTGACAGTGTTGATACTGTTATAACCAGCTAATAGTGTTCATACTGTTATACACAGTTGACAGTGTTGATACCGTGTTGTACCCAGCTAACAGTGTTGATACTGTGTTATACCCAGCTGGCAGTGTTGATACTGTGTTATACCCAGCTGGCTCTGCTGATACTATGTTATATCCAGCCGACAGTGTTGATACTATGTTGTACCCAGCTGACAGTGTTGATACTGTGTTATATCAAGCTGACAGTGTTGATACTGTCTTGTACTCAGCTGGCAGTGTTGATACTGTGTTATATCCAGCTCGCAGTGTCGATACAGTGTTATATCCAGCTGGCAGTGTCGATACAGTGTTATATCGAGCTGACAGTGTTGATACTATGTTATACCCAGTTGACAGTGTTGATACTATGTTGTACCCAGCTGACAGTGTTGATACTGTGTTATACCAAGTTGACAGTGTTGATACTGTCTTGTACTCAGCTGGCAGTGTTGATACTGTGTTATACCCAGCTGACAGTGTTGATACAGTGTTATTCCTAGCTGGAACTGTTGATGCTGTTATTCCCAGCTGACAGTGTTGATACTGTTATGCCCAGCTGACAGTCTTCATACAGTGTTATACCAAGCTGACAGTGTTATATCCAGCTGACAGTCTTGTACTCAGCTGGCAGTGTTGATACGGTGTTATAACCAGCTGACAGTGTTGATACTATGTTGTACCCAGCTGGTATTATTGATACAGTGTTATACCAAGGTGACAGTGTTGATACAGCGTTATACCCAGCTGACAGTGTTGATACTGTTATACCCAGCTGAAAGTGTTGATACTGTGTTATACCAAACTGACAGAGTTGACACTATGTTGTACCCAGTTGGCGTTGTTGATACTGTGTTATATGCAGCTGGAACTGTTGAAGCTGTTATTCCCAGCTGGCAGTGTTGATACTGTTAGGCCCAGCTGGCAGTGGTGATACTGTGTTGTACCCAGCTGGCAGCGTTGATACTGTTATACCCAGCTGGCAGTGTTGATACTGTTATACACAGCTGGCAGTGTTGATACTGTGTTATGTCTAGTTGACAGTGTTAATACTGTGATACCCAGCTGACAGTCTTCATACAGTGTTATACCCAGCTGACAGCGTTGATACTGTGTTGTACCCAGCTCGCAGTGTTGATACAGTTTTATATTCAGCTAACAGTGTGGATACAGTGTTATACCCAGCTGGGAATAACAGCATGAACAGTGCCAGCTGTCAACTGGGTAAAACACAGAATCAACACTGCCAGCTGGGTACAACACAGTATCAACACTGTCAAGTGTTATACCCAGCTAACAGTGTTATGTTCAGCTAACAGTGTTAATACAGTGGTATACCCAGGTGACAGTGCTGATACAGTGTTAAACCCAGCTCACAGTGTTGATACAGAGTTATACCCAGCTGACAGTGTTGATACTGTGTTATACCCAGCTGACAGTGTTGGTACTGTGTTATACCCAGCTGACAGTGTTGATACTGTTATACCCAGCTGGCAGTGTTGATACTGTTATACCCAGCTGGCAGTGTTGATACTGTGTAATGTCTAGCTGGAACTGTTAATACTGTGATACCCAGCTGACAGTCTTCATACAGGTTTATACCCAGCTGACAGCGTTGATACTGTGTTGTACCCAGCTCGCAGTGTTGATACAGTTTTATATTCAGCTAACAGTGTTGATACAGTGTTATACCCAGCTCACGATACTATGTTGTATCCAGCTCGCAGTGTTGATACAGTTTTATATTCAGCTAACAGTGTTGATACAGTGTTATACCCAGCTGATAGCGTTGATACTGTGTTGTACCCAGCTCGCAGTGTTGATACAGTTTTATATTCAGCTAACAGTGTTGATACAGTGTTATACCCAGCTGGGAATAACAGCATGAACAGTGCCAGCTGTCAACTGGGTATAACACAGTGTCAACACTGCCAGCTGGGTACAACACAGTATCAACACTGCCAGCTGGGTACAACACAGTATCAACACTGTCAAGTGTGATACCCAGCTAACAGTGTTATGTTCAGATAACAGTGTTGATACTGTGTTATACCCAGGTGACAGTGCTGATACTGTGTTATACCCAGCTGGCTGTGTTGATACTATGGTATATCCAGCTGACAGTGTTGATACTATGTTGTATCCAGCTGACAGTGTTGATACTGTGTTATACCAAGCTGACAGTGTTGATACTGTGTTGTACCCAGTTGACAGTGTTGATACAGTGTTATTCCCAGCTGGAACTGTTGATGCTGTTATTCCCAGCTGACAGTGTTGATACTATTATACCCAGCTGACCCTGTTGATACTGTCAAACACAAAGCTGACAGTGTTGATAATGTGTTGTACCCAGCTCGCAGTGTTGATACAGTTTTATATTCAGCTAACAGTGTTATGTTCAGCTAACAGTGTTTATACAGTGGTATACCCAGGTGACAGTGCTGATACAGTGTTATACCCAGCCGACAGTGTTGATACAGTGTTATACCCAGCTGACAGTGTTGATACTATGTTGTACCCAGCTGGTATTATTGATACAGTGTTATACCCAGCTGACAGTGTTCATACGGTATTTCACCCAGCTGACAGTGTTGATACAGTGTTGTACCTAGTTGACAGTGTTGATACTGTTATACCCAGCTGACAGTGTTGATACAGCGCTATACCCAGCTGACAGTGTTGATACTGTTGTACCCAGCTGACAGTTTTGATACTATTATACCCAGCTGAATTTAAAGTGCTGATACAGTGTTATACCCAGCTGACAGTGCTGATATAGTGTTATACACAGCTGACAGTGTTGATACTGTTATACCCAGATGGCAGTTTAGATGCAGTATTAAACACAACTGACAGTGTTGTTACTGTGTTATTCCCAGCTGACAGTGTTGATACTGTTATACCCAGCTGACAGTGTTGATACTGTTATACCCAGCTGACAGTGTTGATACTGTTATACCCAGCTGACAGTGTTGATACTGTTAAACCAAGCTGACAGTTGTGATACTGTTATACCCAGCTGACAGTGTTGATACTGTTATACCCAGCTGACAGTGTTGATACTGTTATACCCAGCTGACAGTGTTGATACTGTTATACCCAGCTGACAGTGTTGATACTGTTATACCCAGCTGACAGTGTTGATACTGTTATACCCAGCTGACAGTGTTGATACTGTTATACCCAGCTGACAGTGTTGATACTGTGATACCCAGCTGACAGTGTTGATACTGTGTTATACCCAGCTGACAGTGGTGATACTGTTATACCCAGCTGACAGTGTTGATACTGTGTTATACCCAGCTGACAGTGGTGATACTGTTATACCCAGCTGACAGTGTTGATACTGTTATACCCAGCTGACAGTGTTGATACTGTGATACCCAGCTGACAGTGTTGATACTGTGTTATACCCAGCTGACAGTGGTGATACTGTTATACCCAGCTGACAGTGTTGATACTGTGTTATACCCAGCTGACAGTGTTGATACTGTTATACCCAGCTGACAGTGTTGATACTGTTATACCCAGCTGACAGTGTTGATACTGTTATACCCAGCTGACAGTGTTGATACTGTTATACCCAGCTGACAGTGTTGATACTGTGATACCCAGCTGACAGTGTTGATACTGTGTTATACCCAGCTGACAGTGGTGATACTGTTATACCCAGCTGACAGTGTTGATACTGTGATACCCAGCTGACAGTGTTGATACTGTGTTATACCCAGCTGACAGTGGTGATACTGTTATACCCAGCTGACAGTGTTGATACTGTTATACCCAGCTGACAGTGTTGATACTGTGATACCCAGCTGACAGTGTTGATACTGTGTTATACCCAGCTGACAGTGTTGATACTGTTATACCCAGCTGACAGTGTTGATACTGTGATACCCAGCTGACAGTGTTGATACTGTGTTATACCCAGCTGACAGTGTTGATACTGTTATACCCAGCTGACAGTGTTGATACTGTTATACCCAGCTGACAGTGTTGATACTGTGATACCCAGCTGACAGTGTTGATACTGTGTTATACCCAGCTGACAGTGTTGATACTGTTATACCCAGCTGACAGTGTTGATACTGTGATACCCAGCTGACAGTGTTGATACTGTGTTATACCCAGCTGACAGTGGTGATACTGTTATACCCAGCTGACAGTGTTGATACTGTTATACCCAGCTGACAGTGTTGATACTGTGATACCCAGCTGACAGTGTTGATACTGTGTTATACCCAGCTGACAGTGTTGATACTGTTATACCCAGCTGACAGTGTTGATACTGTGATACCCAGCTGACAGTGTTGATACTGTGTTATACCCAGCTGACAGTGTTGATACTGTTATACCCAGCTGACAGTGTTGATACTGTGATACCCAGCTGACAGTGTTGATACTGTGTTATACCCAGCTGACAGTGGTGATACTGTTATACCCAGCTGACAGTGTTGATACTGTGATACCCAGCTGACAGTGTTGATACTGTGTTATACCCAGCTGACAGTGGTGATACTGTTATACCCAGCTGACAGTGTTGATACTGTTATACCCAGCTGACAGTGTTGATACTGTGATACCCAGCTGACAGTGTTGATACTGTGTTATACCCAGCTGACAGTGTTGATACTGTTATACCCAGCTGACAGTGGTGATACTGTTATACCCAGCTGACAGTGTTGATACTGTTATACCCAGCTGACAGTGGTGATACTGTTATACCCAGCTGACAGTGGTGATACTGTTATACCCAGCTGACAGTGGTGATACTGTTATACCCAGCTGACAGTGTTGATACTGTGTTATACCCAGCTGACAGTGTTGATACTGTTATACCCAGCTGACTGTGTTGATACTGTTATACCCAGCTGACAGTGGTGATACTGTTATACCCAGCTGACAGTGGTGATACTGTTATACCCAGCTGACAGTGGTGATACTGTTATACCCAGCTGACAGTGTTGATACTGTTATACCCAGCTGACAGTGTTGATACTGTTATACCCAGCTGACAGTGGTGATACTGTTATACCCAGCTGACAGTGGTGATACTGTTATACCCAGCTGACAGTGTTGATACTGTTATACCCAGCTGACTGTGTTGATACTGTTATACCCAGCTGACAGTGTTGATACTGTTATACCCAGCTGACAGTGTTGATACTGTTATACCCAGCTGACAGTGTTGATACTGTTATACCCAGCTGACAGTGTTGATACTGTTATACCCAGCTGACAGTGGTGATACTGTTATACCCAGCTGACAGTGGTGATACTGTTATACCCAGCTGACAGTGGTGATACTGTTATACCCAGCTGACAGTGGTGATACTGTTATACCCAGCTGACAGTGGTGATACTGTTATACCCAGCTGACAGTGGTGATACTGTTATACCCAGCTGACAGTGGTGATACTGTTATACCCAGCTGACAGTGGTGATACTGTTATACCCAGCTGACAGTGGTGATACTGTTATACCCAGCTGACAGTGGTGATACTGTTATACCCAGCTGACAGTGGTGATACTGTGATACCCAGCTGACAGTGGTGATACTGTTATACCCAGCTGACATTGGTGATACTGTTATACCCAGCTGACAGTGTTGATACTGTTATACCCAGCTGACATTGGTGATACTGTTTTATCTTATAATGGGTAGGTTTCTCGGCAGGATAAAGCCAACGGATAAAAACGATATCCGTTGAGGTCATATGCGGATAGAGATGCAAATATCAAAGGTCAAGTAGGGACTTCTTTCACTGTTAATAAACAATCATGGCGTCCCCCTCGTCATTCGGCGATTGAGTCAGAATTAACCATCGGGAATCTGGATAAACTACAGGGATAATTGCTATCATTATCAAAAGAACAGTCTAATATACTGAAAATCAGTGTCTAACTGTGACGTAGATAAGGCATTTTATAAGTTTTGGCAACTTTGGAGATATAAATTTCGAAACAATTTTGCGAGGGCACGAGGCCTAGCCAACGGGATCAATAGCCATATCTGTGCTTGTAGATATCTGCGGCTTGAAACCTTCTCCACAAATTAAAATAGTTGGATTTAGCCGAAATATATTTGAATTGTTACCTTGTTTCGTTTTGTCGCTGTGTATACATCCGACTACACTTCTTAACGTCATGACAGGACAGACCGACTGTCAACAACGTCTGACAGTGGCCGTGACGTCTCATAGACTAGGGTTAGAGTAGCTTCCCTTTGACAAAGGGCAGTTACTCTAGCGGACAGACCGATGGATTGCTGCGAAAGGCAATTAAAAACAACTGTTGTTTTACGTTTATGTTGCTTCGCCACTGCATAAGAAACAGATTTCAGTTGGAACTATATTGGCTACTGTCACTGTCCGACTGACACATCACTTACCCTCTGACATAATAAATATTAATGCGCGCATTCCAGGAAAACTCGCAATGTTTCCGTTATGTTTGTGAGAGAGGGAAAGCGATTTTGAAGTACAGAATTAAAGAATGACATTATATGATAAAGAGGTTATCAGGCTTGTGTGTTTTGGGATGGTACATATCCTGTAGCCTTGGCGAGCTAAATACATAGTGTTTATTCCTAATGCAGGATATTTACCATCCCCAAACACACTCGTGTGATAACCTCTATATATCCAGCTGAGTGGTGATACTGTTATATCCAGCTGGCAGTGTTGATGGGTGGAAGACTTTCTGCACTGTTGCAGAAATATACAACAGACAGGAGTTACTGATGACATGTTTATTGTGATGAGAGATATGTACAATGAGAACAGCTGACTATTGCACAGGAGCAGGGCACAGGACACAGGACACAGGGGCAGGGCACAGGGCACAGGGCACAGACATAAACCTCCCCATACTAAAGGTATTTCTCTGCTGCTGTTTTCTACAAGCTGAACTGTTGTCACAGAGCTTCAACTCACCCTTTATCCTAGTATATTTTTTATGCAGTGTTGGTTTATTGTTAAAATGTATCAGGTCATGGAAACTTAGTATTGAGTGATTTTATTTCCCTGTCCTGAGACAATATATGTTAATCCTGTGGTGACTGAGATACTAGCCCCTTCTCCCATCGCCAGACTGACTACTGACTACTGACTACTGCATTGGGATTTTTTTCTCAAGGAACGAATACTTTGACATGGGAGTTCAACTGTGACCCTGTGGAGTGGCAGCCGGAGACTGACATCTGGGCACTCATACATTGATATGCATTAGATGCTGAGTGAGCAAAAACCTATAACCTGTTTCCGTGACAACCTTAGAAAGCCAGCTTTTTCATCATGAGGTAAACATGCGAATCAACCTCAAAACCGTGCAGATTGTTGGGGTCTCCCTTCAGTCTCATCAGCAGCCCTCCGTAGGAGATGTAGGCTGCCCTGGAATATACAAGTCAGCCTTGTCATATACAATGTTACAGTCAGGCCTGGAATAAACAAATCAGCCTTGTCATATACAATGTTACAGTCAGGCTTGTCATATACAATGTTACAGTCAGGCTTGTCATATACAATGTTACAGTCAGCCCTGGAATATACAAGTCAGCCTTGTCATATACAATGTTACAGTCAGGCTTGTCATATACAATGTTACAGTCAGCCCTGGAATATACAATGTTACAGTCAGCCCTGGAATATACAAGTCAGCCTTGTCATATACAATGTTACAGTCAGGCCTGGAATAAACAATGTTACAGTCAGCCCTGGAATATACAAGTCAGCCTTGTCATATACAATGTTACAGAAAGCCCTGGAATATACAAGTCAGCCTTGTCATATACAATGTTACAGTCAGGCCTGGAATATACAAGTCAGCCTTGTCATATACAGTGTTACAGTCAGGCCTGGAATATACAAGTCAGCCTTGTCATATACAGTGTTACAGTCAGGCCTGGAATATACAAGTCAGCCTTGTCATATACAATGTTACAGTCAGCCCTGGAATATACAAGTCAGCCTTGTCATATACAATGTTACAGTCAGGCCTGGAATATACAAATCAGCCTTGTCATATACAATGGTACAGTCAGGCCTGGAATATACAAGTCAGCCTTGTCATATACAATGGTACAGTCAGCCCTGGAATATACAAGTCAGCCTTGTCATATACAATGTTACAGTCAGGCCTGGAATATACAAGTCAGCCTTGTCATATAAAATGTTACAGTCAGGCCTGGAATATACAAGTCAGCCTTGTCATATACAATGTTACAGTCAGGCCTGGAATATACAAGTCAGCCTTGTCATATACAATGTTACAGTCAGCCTTGTCATATACAATGTTACAGTCAGGCCTGAAATATACAAGTCAGCCTTGTCATATACAATGTTACAGTCAGCCTTGTCATATACAATGTTACAGTCAGGCCTGGAATATACAAGTCAGCCTTGTCATATACAATGTTACAGTCAGCCTTGTCATATACAATGTTACAGTCAGGCCTGAAATATACAAGTCAGCCTTGTCATATACAATGTTACAGTCAGCCTTGTCATATACAATGTTACAGTCAGCCCTGGAATATACAAGTCAGCCTTGTCATATACAATGGTACAGTCAGCCCTGGAATATACAAGTCAGCCTTGTCATATACAATGTTACAGTCAGGCCTGGAATATACAACTTAGCCTAGTCATATACAATGTTACAGTCAGCCCTGGAATATACAAGTCAGCCTTGTCATATACAATGTTACAGTCAGGCCTGGAATATACAATGTTACAGTCAGCCCTGGAATATACAAGTCAGCCTTGTCATATACAATGTTACAGTCAGGCCTGGAATATACATGTCAGCCTTGTGATATACAATGTTACAGTCAGCCCTGGAATATACAAGTCAGCCTTGTCCTATACAATGTTACAGTCAGCCCTGGAATAAACAATGTTACAGTCAGCCCTGGAATATACAATGTTACAGTCAGCCCTGGAATATACAAGTCAGCCTTGTGATATACAATGTTACAGTCAGTCAGCCCTGTAATATACAATGTTACAGTCAGTCAGCCCTGTAATATACAATGTTATAGTCAGCCCTGTAATATACAATGTTACAGTCAGCCCTGTAATATACAATGTTATAGTCAGCCTTGTAATATACAATGTTACAGTCAGTCAGCCCTGTAATATACAATGTTACAGTCAGACCTGTAATATACAATGTTATAGTCGGCCCTGTAATATACAATGTTATAGTCAGCCCTGTAATATACAATGTTACAGTCAGTCAGCCCTGTAATATACAATGTTATAGTCAGCCCTGTAATATACAATGTTACAGTCAGCCCTGTAATATACAATGTTACAGTCAGTCAGCCCTGGAATATACAATGTTACAGTCAGCCCTGTAATATACAATGTTACAGTCAGCCCTGTAATATACAATGTTATAGTCAGCCCTGTAATATACAATGTTATAGTCAGACCTGTAATATACAATGTTACAGTCAGTCCTGTAATGTACAATCTTACAGTCAGCCCTAATGTGTGTACACTTGCAAGTAGCCATGACATACCGCTACGAGTCCTGTATTCGATCATGCGATGAAATATATCGTGCTTGGATTTGTATAAGTAAACAGTCGACAGTTTGTGTGGATTACGAGATTTATCGATACCGAGATACTGTATATGATAAAGAATTATGTTAAGAATTGCAAAACACATTTTGCTGGAACACTTATCAGTGTAACTGACATGTTTAAACATTTATAGCACCTGAAACATGTTGACAAGATTTATCAAGGAAATGCTGGATCCTGAACACACTCTTACTAAAAAACGTTTGATATGCCAATTATGTCATGACTCATTGATGTAATTGTCACAGTTACGACTTGAACTCACTACTCAGTACAGTAGCATCAGAACAGCCATTGAACTTGACTGAATCCATAAACTTCAAATCATTGGTAGATCTAGATAAAAACATTCACAAATCTCTGTCACAATGACCCCTTACCAACGGCTGATAACCCGTGTACTGCCTTTTCATTTACGAAGTTAGACAGTAACATGGATAATTTTGTGATAGAATATTCATTAATATCAAATTTCCATTTTAAGAAATTGTTTGTCCCTTAATGTAAACCTCTTGGTCATGAGAGCAGGATGTGCCCTGATGTGAACCTTTCTCTCACGAGAGATCATATACCGATATATGGTCTCTGCTCTCACTTTGCCTGTTTGTTGATTTTTTGCAGTTGCGAAAAGATTTCTGATTTTTCGCAAACACTGTGTTCTGTTATTAATGTTGTGTTATAATGCTAAAAATTGGACCCCTCCATTTTTGTTTGGGACCCCTAATTTTATGATGAAGGGGTCCAAGTGACCCCAAGAAAATTTAAGCCAGAGCAGACAAAGTTACAGTCAGCCCTGTCATATACAATGTTACAGTCAATCCAGTAATATACATTGTTACAGTCAATCCAGTAATATACAACGTTACAGTCAATCCAGTAATATACAATGTTACAGTCAGTCAGCCCTGTAATATACAATGTTACAGTCAGCACTGTAATATACAATGTTACAGTCAGCCCTGGAATATACAATGTTACAGTCAGCCCTGTAATATACAATGTTACAGTCAGCCCTGTAATATACAATGTTACAGTCAGCCCTGTAATGTACAATGTTACAGTCAGCCCTGTAATGTACAATGTTACAGTCAGCCCTGTAATATACAATGTTACAGTCAGCCCTGTAATATACAATGTTACAGTCAGCCCTGTAATATACAATGTTACAGTCAGCCCTGTAATATACAATGTTACAGTCAGCCCTGTAATATACAATGTTACAGTCAGCACTGTAATGTACAATGTTACAGTCAGCCCTGTAATATACAATGTTACAGTCAGCCCTGTAATATACAATTTTAAGGCAGTCATGTAACGTACAATGTGACAGTCAACCCCATGTCTGTGGTAGACTAAAAGCTTCCCTCCCGTGTGTGGTAGTTACGGTGTTGCCTGGCGGTGAGGTAGACAACCGTCAATACCCGGACACAGATCAATGGTACACTGTGATCTGGGTCAGCCCTCACTCACTCCAGCAGACGACGGCAGACAGGACTTCACACGTCTGACCGCACAAAACCTGTCTTTACAAGTCTGACCTCACAAGCCTGTCTTCACAAGTCTTTACACCAGCACTAAATCAGGTTTCTTCAAACACCCCTGTCACCCAGCTCACTGCGCAGTGTGTTTACAAACGTCAAGGGTGGCACTACTCAGTACTATTCCAGATACAAAGTTCTAGTGTAAGGCAGGGCTTCGGATGTGACACACAGACCGAGGATGTAACCATGGCAACTATGTGTAGGAGAAACCATGTCTCCGAGGGATTACTAGAGATTGTAAACCCTCACATGAGGCACGTTCCCCAATGTGAGGGTTTACAATCTCTAGTAATCTCGAGGAGACATGGTTTGTCCAACTTAAAAAACCGACTCATCGCATAGACAATGTTTTCAATTAAATAACTGTAATAAAAACTCTCAAATGTATAACCTGCATCAGAGATGAAATATCGCCTGCAGTCGTTAACTCGGTTCAATGAAACCGGTGACCTCAGCACGTGGGTTTCGCAACGGTGCGAAATCTGCAAGTGCATCTCGCAATGGCACGAAATCAGCACGTGCGTCTTGTAGGCTGAGACTATTACACGTTTTGCTTTGACTGACGCTCATTCATTGTACAGCCTGTTGCTGGCGTACGGATCTTGAAAAGGACATTCTATAAACCAGTGCAGCTTATCAACACCTCTGAAGCCTTGTGGTACACTCACTTGGCTACAGATATGAAGGTTGCGAGTTCGATCCTCGGGAATATAAAGAAAACATTTGTCATTTGATTTTACATTTCATTACATGTTACAATCTGAACGGAAGTTATAATGATTGTAAGTCCTCCTGCGAGGTGTTACCGGGGGCACGGGTGGCCAAGTCGTTGTGCAGAGTTGCGTCCCTTGGACACGCCAGAAACCTATGATTGTGGGTTCGAATCCCGGTTCGCCCCGATTATGTTTCTAGGTTTGTCAGCACCATACCCGTGCTCGTGGGTTTCACCGAAGTGGTAAACGTCTGAGACCTGCATCACTACGGGCTTTCCTCCAACATTCAGCTGACACGCCGTGATTTAACTGGAATACTGTTAAAAGCAGCGTTAAACCCAACTCACTCACTCACTCACTCTGATGTGACACGCAGACCTAGAATGTAACCATGGCAACTATGTTGTAACCACCTTGGAGGCTGTACCTATCACTGTGTGTACGATTAGGTGTTGCAATGACCGAAAGTATGTTCTGAAATTCAAGTTAGAGATTTAAAGTGCAAAGAAGCATCACATGCAATGAGCATCATGTCCACGAGACTC